ACAGAATTATTTTGTAGATATGTGACCGGCTCTGTCAAAACCAGCTGTTTGTAGGAAAAATAGATTCTGTTCAAATTCCTTTTTAAAACAGTGTTTATATGATGGAAATTGGTTGAGTATTAGGTATTAAAGTAAACGAATTCCGGTCACCGCCGCCACTCGATCAAGAGCACCGGTTGAAAACCGAAAAAAACTAGGCCAGGACGGGCATTATACAATACAGGGTATTGTAATAATACTATACTGTTATACTGTGCATAGTATGATTACAATCCATTAATTTTCACTGTGTCGACTACACTCGACCGACTACCAGAGATTTCCGCCTAACCAAACCCTACTATACGCCGTAGCTTTCATATTCTTCCATCCACAAACAGCGACCACTGCTTTAGTGACTCTCGATGGAGAAGTCAAGCGTGCATATTCATGTCATCAGTTCACGTAAATTACCTTAAATAGCGCCCTCTATAATTTATGCCTTAACTCTAAGGGAAAAAATAATGCATCTCGCCAGAAAGGCATTAAAAAATGTCTACAGTTGACTAAGTAACACTGTGCTCCCAGCAGGAGGACAAGGCCATAGAGCTTTCCAGAATCCCTCTCATGAAGGTCCTGGGGAGGGTAAAGTATCCCTGGAAGCTCTGAACATTTTAGGAAATAATATCTTTAATAATATCTATGTAATTTGGTCATAATCTGTAAACATTACATATTTAACCGATTGAAAAAAAAACTGTTTACCCAGTTGGGAAGAATAGTTGGACCAGTTCAGTCAGTTGGAAAGACCAGTTGGATTAGTTCAACCAGTCAGAAAAGCCAGTTGGACCAGTTCAACCAGTTAGAAAAACAAATTTGACCATATGGAAAGACCATAAAAGACCTGGAATTTTTACCTTGAGCTTTATACTTAGAATTTTAGAACCGTTCTGGATTTACAACTGGTTTTTGCTGGTCCAAATAGATTCTTAACTGGTTGAACTAGTCCAACTATACTTTCCAACTGATTTAACAACTGGTCTTTCCAACTGGATGAACTGTCCACCTGGTTTTTTCCAAATAGCACCAGGAAAAAACACAATCCATTGGTTAAGAAACCAAAAATGACTCTATGTAATTTTTACAGATTACGACTAAGTTGATTATAGATAGTTTTTTTTTTTAAGTCATTCTTCCTTAAAATTGTCATCAGAGATTCCAGGGATAATTTCTCTTTCATGGGGGATTCTGGAAACCTCTATGTCCCTGTGTTACTTAGTCAACTGTAGACATTATTTAATGTTTCTCTAGTGATGGTAGCAGTTATGAACCAGTGGAGGGATTTTTACCTTTAGGATTAACCATTATTAGGAATTAAAGCGAACACATAAACTGTCAAATTGGAGAGTTTAGTTGGAGCAACTCTATTACCTTATCCCTCTCTATGCCATATAATTTTACGTTTTGGATGTTTATAGTGGGCCAATTTGTATGAGTATTAAACAACTTGGGAATTTCCTCTAGTTAAAGGTAAAAGGTCAAATAAGGCATTTCCTGTCTTTTTAGAGAAAATGTTGCATTAGATCAAATAAAAACATTCGTGCCCTGGACAATTTGAAAATGAAGGTTAAACACACTGCGACTAGCGATTGCAAAAATAGTTGAACCCTATTAATTCTACTCTACTTCGCCAGGGTGGGGTGGGTGTGCCCGAGTTGTTATTTCTGGAATTTCATTTCCTCATGTGTTTATACGTGTTTATTTAAATAAAGAATCTTCTTTGTTTGTTATTTGTTCCATTTCAAATGCTGAAATACCTAACCAAAACCAATAGTATACTATTTAAAAACAAATCCATAAAAATCGGGTTTTTGCCCCAAAAATATCATGAAAGTATACCTAATGGTCATATGGTCAATGTCATTAAATAGGACATACAGTTGGCTTTAGATGAGGTGCAACATGTCTATGTTTGGGCATTTTCCGTTGATGTATATTACATATATTAATTTTTTGCTAAATGTTTTGATATTTTTGCTATTGTCGAGTGTTAGAAATTAAAATTGATTCTGCTCAGCAAGTATATAGTTTCATTCTTCCCTGTTTTAATGACACAATCATATAATTGGTCAAATTCTAAGAGAGAGAATATTTGAAATACCTGTTGATTTAGTATATTTTTAAAAATAAAATGAAAACAAAAAAGATAAATTTTGACAAAAAATGACACAATTTTGTGTTTTTACTAACTAAAACAAGAAGGTACAAAAACCAATTAAAACACGAGCTGTACAATAATAATCTTGAAGAAATATGGCACTTGTTTATCCCTGGATATCTTGGAGAAAATTGGGTAACACTGGTGTGTATATTGATAACCATGAGTGAACATTGATAAATCAAATTCTGTATAATTACTGCAAAGCATATCTTAAAAGAGCATTGCGATCACGTAACCTTATTTTAAGTACATTCTGAGTCGAAATATACAGCATTGCAAAATTTTAATCTTAATCTTATTCTAAGCATTTTCAAACCATTTTAACCACCCTACCAATTTTAATGTACAGTTTCTGGTAAATTTTAAGGTCGACTTAATCCAAATTTTAACCCTTTTTCACATTTTACCCGTTCCTGTTTCAGGGGGGTGGGGCCCAATAAGTATTCCACACCTACCTCAACCCCACCATGGTTGGGGCAGAGGTGAGCAAATTTAAAGAATAGGACCTTCTAGATGCTCGAAAATGGCACTATCAGATGGTAAAAATATGCTTTTTCAAAGCAGTGTTCCTCGACAGAAAATTATTGACTTCCTCTCGACGGGAGCTACTGTATACTTACACTCCCTCTCCCTTCACGGGCATCGCAAAGGATAGACCTTATATAGTCCATTCTATACTGGGAGTCGCAAAGCAAATTATGATTTTAGTACCTCTAGATGCCCGGAAATGGCACTCATTCAGACTTAAAATTTGAACATTTTATCTCAATTTTTAAAAATTTGACAGATGTAGGGTAGGCCTGGCCGGCTGGGCACCCCACCCCCACTGGATTAATATAATATATGTCATACAATCGCTGTCAGAGACACATTATGCTGTTATTAAAAAAGCCATTTAGGATCAGGGCGGTATATGAGCGAGGACCCTGGACCCTCATGGGTAGGGGCATCAAAGTGGCCCCTAAAGGTCGGTGGCCTGCGCATTTTTGCACGAGAACGCGTAGGCGTTACTCCATGCTGAACATGGATAGCTGTTCTATAGCTGGGTACTACATTCCGGCTAAAAAACTGTCTTCAGGTCTCCGCCTTTTGGGCTTTTTACATCCTGATTTATGCGTCGGGGACATAGCGTTGTGTTCGTTGTCAATTAATAGAAAATTCAAAATTAGTGAGTGGTAAAATAATCAAGCTCTCCTTTCGCCCTCTGCTGAATCCGTCACTGAACTCATGGGTACACTTCATTTTCCCCTCTTTCTTTCTTCCCTTTAACTCTTTTCAATTTGTTTATTTTTCGGGCGTGACTGACGGGGGGGGGGGCCACACGGGCCCCCGTGGTCCCCCTGCTGGATCTGCCCCTGTGTTTTACTTGTATTTTGGTTTAACATGGTTTTAAATGCTTAGGTTAAGATGACCTTTCAAAATACCAACTAAACATGTGACCATTTTATGCAAATAATTTGCTCCTGGCTCCCGGACTAAAAACATTAGTCATGATTTGTGTTTTTCTATATGATTGTCTAAGACTAATAAAAAAATCTAAATCTGGTATGTCGTATTTTTATCTTGTTACTTTGGATATCTTGTGTACTATAAAACAATTATTAAAGCAGAATATCTAAATGTTTTATAAAATTAGAACTATGCAACCTAATGATACTGTACAAGTAAGTTCTAAAATGTATACTCAATGAAAACTCGTATATGTGTAGTTAAATATCCAATATTACAGTATATGAAAGGTGTTAAATTTTGTCAGTTGTTAACTAAAATAAATTACCATTTCCAACAGATCTTTAAAACGGCTATCTAACTGTTAGCATTATGCATGTCGATGGGATGCGGAATGTACATGTCTCCCTCTACAAAGACCACGTATTATTACAGACCACTTTTCTGTAGTCCCATATTAACTTTATAGGACCAATCCGTTAAAGATCACGGAGACCCCAGTCCCATGTTCGACACAATTAACTAACTGAAGTAATAAATTAAAGACTGTAAAGGAAACTCGAAGTAGAATATTATACAGTCTACCTTAATAATATTAAAGTTTATAATAATTTAACCACGAACATAGTAAATTACATGCATGTGAATTACGTTCATTTTCATTTTTTAAACATTACGTTAACATGATTGAAAAGTATTTGTTTAACAAATCCTGGTTACGACATACTCAATAAAATTAGAACACTCCCATTATAAATATAGGATAAGCAGTTGTAGTTAGAATCAATACGGTGCAAACGTTTTATTATTGTCAACCTTCGAATTGTACATTGCATGTTCAACACGAGCCAATAACTGCTTTTTTTAAGATGAAGTTAACATAATTTATTATAAATATAGAATATGCAATTGTAGTTAGAATCAATACGGTACTAACGTCTTATCATTGTACATTGCATGTTCAGCACGAACCAATAACTGTTTCATAGTTACCGACCTGACAGATTGAAATGCGTGACTACACCGTTTGCGGAGGGGTGGGGGGAGAGGCCCCTGTTTGAAATATATTTCAGGGAGTGTTTGTTATAAAATACCAGGTACGGTAAATAAAAAAAAATATTTTTGAGTTTCAATGTACATTATGTTTAATTTGAGAACCCGACCTATGTACACAAACATTTTATTACTTACCAAAAATCAATTTCAGTGAATTAAGTATTCACGTAAATACTGGCTAATGACTCAAGTTACTGCATGACCGTTTTTACATTTTTGTTAAAACCAATTTCTTCTAATTTTAAATAAATTTTCTCCTGAATTTGTGATAATTTGTTATCACGCATATATCTATGCTAAATGCGTGACAAATTTAAGATCACGCATGTGTTTCTGCAAAATAGCCTACGTGTTTCAACAAAAATCACTTTGAAATGCGGGACCGCACGATGCGAGACGGTTGGTAACTATGCTGTTTTCATTATCCAGTCAGGTTGGCTTTAAGTTAGTCGAACAATGAAAAAGATGCCAAACAGTTAATGAGAATGAATGATTCGGTTGGCATTCCACAATCGTGTATTTCTGAGACTTTGTTCACCTTGGTTCCTTTCCCATTGTAGCTGGCATTTCGAATCTTCGTCATATTGAAACGAATCACACCGATAATCTCTTAAGCAACGCATCGCACATCTGACACATAGGCCTAATCTTCGTGTAGACTCATTCAATCCAAATTTACATCCAAACTCATTAGCTGTGGTAGGCGTCTTGAAATACGCGTTTTCTAGTATTGCTTTAAAAAAAAAAAAAAAAAAAGAGTCGATGAATTTAAACATTTTGATTGTACTTGGAAGTAGAAATATGTGCTTAAGCCGGGCACCCACTGCACCGGCTTAGAAGACGTCGGCCGCCGCGATATGGAGAAAGCAACGCCACAACGCTCGCGCAACGTATCTTTTTAAATTCAGACTGCCACGCGCGGCAAGCAACACTGAGGAGCAGATGACTTCGCGTTGACGCAGTCAGTGCCTGGCTTAAGGCTTAATGTTGTCATGTTGTTAGAATATTCTTTATGTTGGTATTCTTAACACGGCCTCTTTTTGAATCAATAACGTAAGTTTATCGCAACCATTGAAACATGGATACATTATTGGATCACTGTTTTATTATTATTTTGATTAACAATAGATTAGGTTGAAACAATTGTCAAGTGAAAAAAAATGAACTGATGGATGAGCTAAGTTGATATAAGGTCCTACTATAAATGTTGCTGCTTCTCGGTTAGAAAACTACGTAAATTCTTATTCAAGATGTGTTAAATTGCAATGAAAATATATGAGATTAAATTATACAGTACGGTAAAGAAGTTGAATAAAGGTATATAAAAAAAACAGAAAAACACAGTAGTACCCTCTTTAAAGGGACACCTTTCCATGAAATAAGGGGAAATATATCTGTTAACACTATGGCCAACCCCTATAAGGCTGGGGAAACCCATTTCACCCCATATGAAGGGGACACTTTTTTTTAAATTGTACTAAAACAACTTCAGTATTCTCAAAACGGGTCTCAAAATAAGACAAAAATATTAAAATTTATATTTTGACACCATTTGAGCAATAAATAAACATCAAACTTAATTCTTCCCTCTTAATCTTTAGAATGGACATTGGTATTCTTGTCAGTTTCGACTATTAGCAATGGGAATTTCTTGTTTTGTGTATTTAGCATCATAGCATTCTAATCACCGTACACTAGCCTGCACCCTGATTTCTAAGTCGTTACTACTCTGTCCATGGAGAAAATAAAATATTATTTAATTTAATTTATTAAAATTTTATTTTCTCCATCTCTGTCCATGCAATTCTATCTCTTAATGTAAGAAGTTGTGGCGCCAGCGGAATTCCAACGCGATCATTGTTTATTACATTACATATACATCGACTCATTGTAGTTTAATGATTTTTTTTTTTCGTAGGCCTAATCTCTATTCCTAACTTAAACTTGATTAATAATTGGGCTATTAGCAAAGAAAAAAATAGGTCTATCAAATAAAATAATAATAAAGTTTAAGATATGTAGACCGAAAGTTAACCTATTGGGCTAAACTGGAAGGGTTACCCTCTTTAAAGATGGTTGAAATAAAAAAAATAAATAAAAAGGAAATTAATAATACTCTACAATACACTCGTGCCAGTGGGCTTTAGAAAAGGGCCCGACTAGCGCTTCGGTCAAGGTCCCGGCCTAAAACTGTATGAGGGCTTAGTATGGCCCAAGTTGTGCTTCTATACCACAATTTATTAGGGATTGGCAATCAAAATAACGTTCTTTGATAAAAAGGCAAATTATTATTTTTTAGTCCCGGGATGTCGTTGCAGCGTCGGAAGATGTGGGAATTGGGGAATAAGATGCTTAATCCTCCTTTGAATAGTTTTATCTGCGATCATCAGATATTATAACACTTACCACCAAAGACTTCAACTTCACATACGTTGAGAGTTTGCGGTGAAGTGATCTTCACAAATTGCCAAGTCTTTGTCAGGGGGCAATTCCTTTCAACAATCGGTCCGTCAGCCTCGTAAATGGTAGAACCACACTGGTCACAATCTTCAGTGAAGTCCGACGTATCACTGACTTTTACCACTAGACCATTACGTCTATTGACTGTTTCTATCAAAACATATTTTATATTATTTCACTTATTTCATTACTGACATTTACCACTACACCATTACATCTATTAAATATTTACGTCGAAACATATTTTATATTATTCATTCATTTCATCACATTAAAAACTAATATGCCTATAAAACAGACACAAGAACACAAACCATAACAAATGAAGTGATGAATCTGAAAAAAGCGTAGTATAATAAACTGGAATGCAAATACTATAGCGGTTTAGTCACTTTCAAGTGGCTCTTGAAGCACCGCGCAACCAACCGTTATTCATTAGAATTTTTAATCAAAATAATATTAGATGTAACCCGTGAAGAGATAAACTCTAAATCGTCTTGCGGTTACGCGTTATACATACATATAAGTATTTTATATATATATATATATATAT